AACCAAGTCCAGGGCATTTAAACAACTCTTAATTGTACAGAAATGAATAGATAAATACTTGTGGTCTCTAGAATTGGATATTTCTTTTGAAGAAGTCTCGGATTTCAGTTAAACTTCGCACTTTAACTGACCTAACTATTTACAAAGGAGTAAAAAATTACCAGACCTTTTCAACACAAACTCAGATTAAAGTTGTTGATTTCATTCCTGATCGTGCACCAACCGTTGATTTCTTTCTTGATCGTGCACTACACTGCTGTACAAATAATTAAAAAAAAATCTTAAACAGGCCTTGAAAATCGCAAATCAGATCCGAGAATATTATTTCACTAGACAGGGTGCTCATGGGCGAATCTCAAAGTATTGCTCAGGTATTGAAAGTTATAGTAAATCGTAAAATGTTCACCATTTCATCTTGATTGTCCATTTTTGACAAATCCTTCCATATTATTAAACGATTTTGATAGGTAATGAAATATTTACCTCGTAGAAGCAAATACTTGAAATATACAAATACTGAGCAATTAGTCGTTTCATGACATAATTTAACACATACTAGTAATTCTTGCCAAGGAATACAAACATCCAAACACGAACTGTGTTCCAAATACATGTATATCCCAATTAAAAAAAAATAATGATAAAAGTTCCCTTTATTTACATTTTTAATAAAATAAAAGGAAAACTCTCCTGTCGTTTTTGTTTTTAATTGGATTTCGTTCAGCAACATCACTTAACTTTGATAAAGCTATAGAAAGGACCTAAATATTATTTATAAAGTTACAATCCTCTTATGACTGTTGTTGGACAAAGCTTTAAAGGCATATATAAATGCTTTTTATAAAGTTATTTAAAATAGACATAATTTATGAATGTTAATTATAAATTTATGAAGGCATTTATTATATAAATGTTTTTTATATGCAATTGTTTGAGGTTATGAGGACCCATTTATACTTGTCCCCCCCCCCCCCCCGCACTTTATCCAACAAATTCTCATGAAAAATTAAAAACTAGGCTTTTTGATATCATAGACAACTGCTCCTTCAATAAAAATAGAACTTGGAAATTTTCGCATCTTGTGATTGGTCATCAACAAAATTACTTTGTTAAAAAACACTCCGATTCTAACACAAGAACTCTGAGGATGATTACATATTACAAGGATGCTGGAGTTCCTTTGACAGCATTTATGTCTTTAGAGACCAGGTCTTCCAACGAAGTGCTGGAATCTGATGGGCACTAATTGTGACCCTTTCAGTAGCCGACCTGTTTTTATATTCCAATGAAGCAAAATTTATTTAAAAACTTCTACATGGGAAGATGAAATTAAACACTTGCTGTGGGCTTCAACCCGACATTCAGATATATCGACGACGTGTTGTCAATTAACAATAGTTACCCCCATTCATATGTCGACTCGATATATCTCTCTTTCGATGTAAACATGGGTAGTGACTGTTCCATCGCCAAGCGCCCGGCATTAGAAGTGAAAGTTACAGGTCTTTCGGATGAGACCTTAAAAACTGAGGTCCCGTGTCACGATCGGAATTGGCGCGATTAAGAACCCTCATTTTTCCATGGCCTTGAGTCCAGAGTATAGACCTGAATTTGAAGCCCTTTACCGGTATATGGTGACCTCTGTTTAGGAGTGAAAAATTCTCGACAGGGAAGTAAAGCAACATCAAAGCAATCAATCGATCATTATATCCCAGTTAACTCAAAATAAAAGACATGCATTTTCACTACATAATTAAAAGACCATCCCCTACAACACCAGAACCCCTCACCCAGGTGCCATGAACTTGAGAATTTTGGAAGAGACACCACTGCTAATTATAATCAGCCACACAGTCCACAGAGTCTGCCGCATCAGTTTCATAGTTGGGTGTTTTACTGACTGTAGACGATAAGGGCAAAATAACAGCTAAATTGTATGATAAACGAGATGACAACTTTTCTTTTTCAACTTTCCTTATTTGTACTGCTTTTGTAGTAATATTCCGTTATATCAAAATCACCTGCATATGGTGTTTACGTCTCCCAACTTATTCCATACTCAAGAGCATGCTCTGAGTACGATATTTTTTTAATCAGAGGCAGGCTAATGACAGATAAGTGGATGTGACAGGGATTTCAACAACCTCGTTTAAAGTCAGCATTTCGTAAATTCTAGGGTCGTTATAATGATTTTATTAGCAGACATAGCCTCTCATTGGGTCGTATTTTGACTGATGTGTTTCATCCTAATTGTTAGGACTTTGTTTTTTTTTTATACTAAATGAACTACGGAATGGTTCGTCTACCTGAACAATACATAGGGCTCAGGGCGGGTGTGACCGGTCGACAGGGGATGCTTACTCCTCATAGGCACCTGATCCCACCTCTAGAATTTCGCAGGGTCCATATTTTCTGCCCTTTTCACGGATTGATATTGTTTGTAGATTTTTTTGAAATCGATCACTGCTCGTTATCTTCATCGTTTTTCATTTATTGTTTATTATACCGTCTACTGATTAACTTTTGTATATACATGTAATATTTTTCATTGCAAAAGAAGTTTACTGTAGAAAATAACCTACACTGTCTTCATTTGTCTTTTTGCAGATTGAAGATAGTGAAGGTTGTTTTCTACAGTAAAATTCTTTTCAAAATATAAATTGATCCTTCGTCAATCAACAGACTCAAGTGTTAATAAAGTTAGGACTTGTTGAAAATTACATTTGACATCATAAACGATGGCTTCCTGCTAGGCTAATGTATTTACGAATCGAAAACTGGTTACCTTGCTTCAAAACTATGCATCATTAACATTTTTGTAAAATTAATATGCAACAAACCTAGTATTTAAAAGAATATTGTCAACAATGAATATATAACCATATCACCTACTATGGAAATTAATTCTATACAGAGGATAGATTTATTTCTATTAGTTCATTATATGTTGTCAGTTTGTCTCTAGTTATAATTAAGGACTATTGTCTTTAAAACATGAACTTAAGGACTGATACTTCATGTTCCGTAGAAAAATCAGAATTTATGTTCAGTAATCGCATTTATGGATTTTTTAAAAGAACTCTAGTACATGTATAATCATCAAGTATTCGTGTTTTAACATATTTTAACAATGGTATGTATGACATGATATCGAATAGAAAGATTATAGTCAAAGACAACAGATGTTGGGATTTATAAGGAGGTATATTAACACTTCCCATGTTTCTGAAAAAAAAAAAAATCAATCAAAAGATTTTTTAAAAATAATTCAGCTTTGGCAATTAAAAAGGTTTGAAACTATTTTTTTAATTGTGGAAATCCAGTCTATTTTTTTTTGAGAAACCATCATATATCGATCATTGAAAACGTGTAAGTTGTATTGGGTTGATAAAAAAATCAGTATGAGATATATAATAGGAAAAATTTGTCCTTCCATAATACGTTATAGGTTGAAATGCGACAAAATAATAGACAAAGATCTTTGTAACACATACCAAGGATAAAATTTAATATTTCTTATTGGCTGGCAATGGCTACCATGGTTTTAATACTACAAAGGGATTTAAAATTTACTCTCTGTATGTTTTAATCTTATCCTTTCTTTCTAAAAAGCTCATTTCTATATAACTAGTGATAAATTTCTAAAGGCATGGTGTTGTTCTAATTTTCACATTTCAAAAAATTCAATTAAAATTCTGTAAATACAGAGTTGCTATGGAAATAAGCAGAAAATATGTATAAAAAGATGAAAATATTATGTTTCCTTGGATACGTACCCTTGTATGTAGATTCCCAAAACTTTAATGATTGATATTTATGAACAACTAACCTGATTTTCAATTCTAACTACCATATAATCTCTAACTGGATGCAAGAAGCTACCACATAAGGTTTAATATTGCTAAAAAGTTAGCAAAATCGAATATTTTCCCTTCTTGTTAACCATAGCAGCAATGTTATTTTCTTCATCCTTCATCAAACTTTACAAATGTATGATATTCAGTTTTAGTTCTATCAGATAAGTACTATTCAAGATAAGTCAAATAATATGTTTCTTAATTAAAAGTAGCTAAATTCCTAAAGCAACAAAAAATATCACATTAAACCACTGGTACTTTGATTCTATGGTTACGCTGCAAAGTAGCAATTAATCCCTATTTTTCTTATGTTATCTGTGTTACAAGGTGCCAACGATGTACATTTGGCAGTCTTGATTTTTTTCGTGTTTTTCCTTAAGATAGTAGCATTAACCAAAACTTAGCAACGAATTTTGTATGGCTACACTGTGTTTCTATGACAACCATGAAAGTTATTTTTAGAAAAATATTGCCAATACCTCAAGGTCAAATATTTTTAATGTTTTTCTTGAGTTGTCGATTGAGTTTGTTAAACCTATCATTAGTCAATATTGAGCATTTTCAGCATTTTCTGCATATGAAAAATATTCCAAATGTACCCATGATTACTACTTACTTAGAGATATATTCTAAATAGTTCCTTTATAGTAGAAGTGGCAACAAGGTGTCACGTTTTTGTGAGAATGGTTTGTTTGTTTTTCATAGTCTTTATTAAGGCTCAATAAAGATTCAAAGTAGCTGAAAATCTCAATTTTTGAAACTTTTCTGCTGTTACCATGGCAACCAAGACACATAGCAACCAATTTTATTTGATATATGTTTCTGGTGTCAAGTTGTAATAATGGGCAAAGTTTCATCAAAATCGGTGACAATGTGTGGCAAAGAAGTTTAAGTGGTTATAGAGAATAGCTCTTGAAAGCTTGATTTAACATTGTCATCACAACTCAAATAAACAGTAAGTTGATTTAAATAATCTATAATATTCTAAAAATAAACCCTGACCACCATTTACTGTATTGTGTATAGATTACCGTACTATTATCTTAATTTCATGTTTTATATCATAGATACTGAGAGGAGTTGCCGTATAAACTTCCTGGCTTTTCATTTTTTCTTTACACAGGTTGACAAAAGAAATAAAAGATGGTAAAAATAAGTTGTCTGGCGGGGATAGGGCGTGTTCTTATTGTTGTCATAAACATCATATTTCTGGTAAGCGATAAAAAATAAAAATAATGCTAATAAAATATTTGTTTTATATGGCAAATATCAGAAGTTATTTATTTTTATATGTTATTTTCTATTTCATTTGACTTTACTTGTAAAATCCCAAAATCTCTCAGTAGAAAGTACAATTTTACATGTATGTAATAAAAAAAACTTTTTTATGCAGATAATATGCTTAATACGAAGAGACATTTCAACAAATGGTGGCTACACAGTTGTCTATTTCATAGCCAATGAGACAGGGATTTATTAATATACACTCTTTTTTTTAATACTTTAAACACTCGAATGACCTTTTTAATAGGTTAATAATTTCCGTCAAAGTTCACGTTTACATTTACACTTGCATGGTCAAGTTACCAATGAGGTTGGCAACCAGCTTATCAAGCTTGGTGTAAATAATCCCCTTGTGACCCAAAGAAATCTTTATTTTTGTGTCAAAGAGATAGAATTAGATGTCTTGGAGCCCAAGATAAGCTATTTTTTTTTAAATTCCCTTATGTTCTACCTATTTACCAGTACGCACACATATAACTCTTCAAGGACTTTCATGCATGCATGTGTATATTTCATACTACTTATTGAAGGGGTAGGGTAATGATTATTATTTACATGTAGTCATCTTGAACGTTTAAATCAAATAAAATAGTACATTCTCATAATTACACAAGTACATTTTTTTTTATATAGAAAATGTTTCCAGTGCATCTATAGATATATAAGTGAATTGCCCATCCCATTAAACCAATAGTAAAGTTTGTAATATAGTCTTTCTATGAAGTAGATCTAGTATTGTGAAATACGGAAGATAAATTGAGCAATTTTCTCAAGTTTGACGAAATCTACTTTGCAACAGGCGAGCAATAATAAATATAATGTGCCTTGATTGAGCTTCCCTATGAGTTAAAAGATGGAACTTTACTGAACATTTTAAGAAATTACATGTAATAACATTGCTAAGAGCTCTTTAATTTTACAACTTTAGATATATAAAAAAAATAAATATGGTTACATTTCGACAATACATATTGATATTCTGGTAGAATGTAAAACTTACGAGTAAATAGAAAAGATAAAATCTGTACTTTCGACTTTTTCATTTTTCAAACTCATTCCCTTTATTTTGATGATTCCGCATATCATCTTATTTTATTCATAGAACGTTTTTGAAATCTATATGAGGCTTTATTTGACTGAAAGGTCAACTTTGCGAAAGCAAATCGGACTTAAAGCAAGTGACATTTTGAGCCAGTATACAACATCCCCACTCAGTTTACACACAAATTATTTAGAACAGTATATGGGATATTGTACATCTTGCCAGTACTTCGACTACTAATTTAGTTTTTGTAACAAATGAAACAGTCTGCAACTGTGGCACAAATGAGAGCAATAAAATTAGATACTCAACACAATAGCAAAATTAACAGATAATTTTTTTTAAAGTGTAAATCATGCCACACAAAAATTGCCTTCTTCATTGCAGATTCTTGGATTGGTGTTTTTGGCTTTGGGAATGATATTGATATTAGGAGAGAGTTTACTGAAACCTTACTATTCGGGTGTTCTGAGTTTGTTGAAGAGTCAGTTGGAGAGTAGTAATTTTGGCACCGTGGATTTTTCTTCCTTCAATCTCAGTGATTTGATTGGTGGACTGGCATACTTTTTCGTTGGTCTAGGCCTTTTTCTGTTGATTATTACAATTCTTGGATGCTGTGGGGCCTGTTGTAAAGTGAAATTTATGTTGGTTACTTATGCAATCATCGTCATTGTTATACTCGTCGGAGAACTTATTTTCGTCGGAATCCTCTACGGCTCTCCAAACACGGTAAAAATTTAATAAATAAAAGATTTTTTTATCGTAAAATATGTTTTCAATCATACCATTTTAGTCTCATTTTTCCCCCTTCATTTTACTCAGTAGTTTGAAAGTTATTTACGTCTGCAAAATATGTTTTACAGATAAAAAATGAAATAAAGAATCCGTTGAAAACATCCATTCAGAGTGATTACATTGGATTTAATGGAACTAACCTCGTCAGTCTGGGTTGGAATCTTGCACATAGAGAGGTAAAAGCAAACATATCCACATGTTTTCGAATATCCCATGTGTCATATACATCGAATTCAATTCGTCCTCTATTTAAGTTCTCTACTATTTTTGTGTTTTGTATCGTCTTTCTACATGAAATACTAAAATTGAGGACCATGTTATTCAAATAAATTCACACGTATTCTGAAAAAAAAAAAACGTTTAAATTTTATCTTCTACATGAATATTTATCAAAAAATTAACCACTCTGGGTTTCAGAGTAAGTAGCAGTATTTCGAAAAAGGGTCCCACAACTCTCATTGGCAAATAATTAGGTAATTAATTCTGAAATTCTTATTTATGCTTTACTTTGTGTACAGCTAAAATGGGGAGCAATGAAAATATTTTACATTTTACATCACAAAGTAGCTATTTGATTTAATATTTATTTCACTTTTTAAATTTTTTTTTCAATACGAATTCAAATTTATCTGATTCCAAGTTGTCTTACAAAATGCAAATAAAAATATAAATATGTTTTTTCTATAGTTTTTTTTTTTTTTTGCATTTTTCTGGATATTTATGATTTTAAGTACCCTTATCTTCAAATACAAACTTTCACAAATTCTTAAATAACAGCCATCTTGTCAGAACTTAATGTTATACATGTATCTACATTATGACTGTCGAATCTATGTGCTCGTCTTCAAGAAACTCATTGTATTAAAAACGTTAAAACAGCCAACAAAGAACAGCAAACAGTTCTGCGTTATAATATTAGAACTAAGACCCATTTAAATTGTTGGAGATCATACAGAAAGGTCGATGACTTAAAGTTAACATACTATTATGTGTGTAGAATTCTTATTATATCTAAAGTCATCATATAGTGTTTTTCGATAACTTTTTTTTTTTGCCTTTGAACTATTTTTTTATTACACTAAAACCTACAATTACGTACATACTAGTAGAGGCCATATAATTGCAGAGGAAGAAAGGGAAATTTAATCGGAATTCAATACATTTATTTGTAAATAAAATTATATTTTGAACAAATTTCCCTTACATTAACGTGACTTGCAAACTTTTCACACTTATAGATTATATAAATTTTATCTATCTTGTACTTCATCTCATGCGACTGTTGTCTTGTAACAATAATCGAAAATTTAACAACATTTTAATTTTTTTTATGACTTAAAACATTTTATACAAAATGTAATAAAAGAGTATTTAATTCTTTATATAAACCTCATAGTTTAAATGTTGTGGTGTGGACAGTTACAACGATTTTACTGGAGGGGCAAAATGGAACACAAATTACGGATCCGGTCTAAAAGCTCCAATAACTTGTTGCATAACAATTCCGGACTCTTCCTCACCAACGTGTGCAACAACACCAACGGATATATACACCAAGGTATAGGATCTGTAGAATATCTTATTCAACTGGAAGTCAAACCTTACAAAAGCCTACAAGGAACAAAATCAAAGTAACATTAAATCGTCACAAAGAAGAATAGCTTGTTTTTTTTTTCATTTAAAGAGTGTCTTTAGTTTTATTAGAGAGTTACTGAAGATCAATAACTTTATTACAGGGATGTTTTGATGAAGTATACAACAGGCTGTTGGGGGATGTCGCTTTAGTGGCTGGTTCACTTGCTGGATGCGGTGCTTTCCAGGTAACACTAAGGAACGCCTATTTAATATGAAGACAAAAAAGATATGTTTAAAGAAATCTTTAAAACATTTTCTGGCAATTATGAGTGTACTTTAATTCAGTATTTGCATTTTTTAAAATATATTCATTGTATGTGCATACGTAGGACAAATATCACAAGAGTTCTAGTTTTAAGATGTACAACAAACATATATTGATAAATTTCATAATATTGATTTAAAGTTTTGTTGATTTATTTTAAAATCCATATTATGCATTTCTTGAATTTTATTTCTGCAGCTTGTTCTAATTATCTTTGCTCTTGTCATCTTTTGTGATGGACGACAGTCATCAAAAGTTGATCCCACAGGATGGTAAGTAACATTTCTCGAGCAAATTTCTATTACGGCTGGTGTAAATAAATGTTCAGCAAAACTGAATATATCGATTGCTACCAATTAACAACTGATAAATGTTTTGATATTATTTGCTTTGCATAGATAAAAATCTAAACCTGTCGATTTGTCTAAAGTTACCCGGTTTGATAACTAGAGTGTTCCAAGGAACACATGTGTCGCCTGCTTTGTAGCTTCATTAAAGGTGTAAATAAATCTAAGAATGGTCAGCTTTTTATTTACTATAAGAATGATAGACTGGTAGTTCATGCATTTGCCTGCAAAGAAAAATTGGCATCTACGGATAGCATAAGACTGCGATAGGATCTGACAATCAAAGAAATATGGTACATGTACCATAACCCTCAAATGAAAAACTAGATTGAAATTATTAGAAATAACGTAATGCCTCAAAATTGATTCTTGTTTTGTTGTATAATGATTACCATAATAAACGTGACTTTTTCATTTAAATCAAAAAGAGTTCTTTTTTTCTAAGTCACGTATTACAGTAACGTAACACAAATACTTCTCAGATTCGTGATTTGGTTTAATATTGTATTGAAATATGAATAAAAGGGTGTGTTCATCAGAAAAAATTAAAATACTTACAGGGAACGGAAAAGGTAAGGTGTGAGGAATTAGAGACCTGATTCTAGGTTTTTCTTATATACACAAACAATCCACGTAGTATACATTCTGTCTATTGAACTGGGTATATGAAATATCCTTCTAAGTTAAATGATTCACAACTCTTCTCACTCTCATAAGTAGATTGTCATCGACAACTTTAAATTATTTTTTTAAATTGAAAACGGTTTTTTCTGAGAATTTTCAACATTTCTTCAATCTAATTTAATAATTTCGAATTCTTTTGTTTGGACGTGAACCCTGTTTTGAATTATCTAAGTTGATTCTTTTTTCTTTTAATTATTATTTAAATCTTCTTCAAATTAGAGTAACACGTTATTCATGAAACATACGAGATTTCGTGTATCCATCTCCAAATGTATTTATGATGAGCAATCAAACGAAATGATAATTTTATTTTGAAAACTTAAAAAAATAATGTTATTTTGATACTGTTCATAATTTTATCTTGATCAGAGTTTTCCCATCTTTTTCAGATCTTTTAACAATCCGTCAGCGCCAACACCGAAGGAAACGGGAGGTTACTCTTTGGAAAATTCTGCTTCCGTCCAAAATTGAATACAATAACCTTGTGAATTATCTTTAACTGATTCAACTGGGAAAATTATTTCATAAGAATAGCTTGAAATATTGTAGACTAGTTATGTTTAGAAAATGGAGAACTGATGAATTAAAGTTCTCTGTCCCTTGGTCAAAATACTTACCTAATTAATAACGACATTATTTATTGTTGAATTGTTATAGGTGATTGTATTGTTATAATAATTTATTCATTAAGTTTGATTGTTTCCTTATGATGAAGGTTGATTTGACCTGAACTGCTACATGTACCTTTTCTGTGATAAAATATTTTGTTTTCTCTGTTTCTTGTCATACCATGCTTGTAACTTCAAATATTGACGAGGAAATATGTCATTTTTGCCATAGTTTTTTAGGTTATTTGTAAACCTATTATTTCCAGGTTTAAAATTTAAAACTTCTGATTGAAATGAATCCAAACCTGAGATTGTTGCTAACGACGAGCTTAAGATCCGACATGATCCCATTCGATGTTTTATATCAAAGAACAAGGACACGTATCGTTGTCAGCAGTATGTTTAAGTTAATTTTGATTAAGAACATAGGATCGGCAAACAAATATAATATATAGAAATCTCTAGAACAGTTTTCACATGCTTTATTATTGCGTATTCACCAAGATTTTTTTCCCTTATAATCTATCCTTATTCTGTATTTAAGAATATACAGAAAAAAATACTCCAAGGCTGAGATAACCCTTTCTTTGATAACAATACATTATAGATGTCCGATTATGTAATCAAATAGGAATGTTAATTAATCATAAATACAAGAAAAACATCGATATTAAAAAGAATATCTATGAAAGTATTTTGGGATATTTCAATTTCTTCATGGTTTGCATAAGATTTCAATATTGAAATAAAGAGAAGATTTTTTGGATTAGTAATAAGGATACCTTTATGGGAAAACTTCATAATAACAAACTGTTAATTTCTAATACAGTTTTTGAGTACTAATATCCTACGTCCTAAAACTAAATTACACGCAAGTATGACGTCGCCTACGTACTAGTATTCTTTAGTAATGGTATGTTACAGTCATATTTCCACTGATGCAGAGTTACACGTTGTTGGTATGTTAAAATCCTTTTGGGAGGGGGGGGGGGAGGGGAGCTATTATTTTGGAGTGTGATTAGAATAGCTAAATTCGAACATGAGTAAGCTGTACATGCTGACTTGAGTTGTGTGTTGGTCTAATGAGAAATACACCTGTCACAAATCTAGTCCAATTAATAACTTTGTAACTGTTGATTATTTTATATGTTAGGCCATCTTTAAAATACTGTTTGTTTGTCCTGTCCCGTTTCAGGATTTAAAAAATGGGTCGGTATGTGGGCGGAAAATTTTCTTTCCCCAAAAATGATCTACATCTAGGCTGAATTTTTCAAATCTATGAAAATTGAAGGTATTAATAAGATTAAAATAGTTGTTGACGAGATAAGAAAATCTCGGATTTAATAAAAAATGCGATTCCTCTTGGTCTAAAAACGTTTTGAGTCGGGCAATTTTTTGCCAGTGGGTCTGGAGAGGGCTAACAAACAATTTTTTTGAAGATGGCCTTGGTTACTAGCATATATCGATACTGACTATATTTCGTCATGGTTACGGTTATCTAAGACGATCAGGTAACAAATATAGGTGAGACAGATGGAAAAAGAGAATGGTCCAATTTTAAGTTTTAAGAAAAATCTACTAAGATGTTGTATGAACTTCAGTCAGTTATGTAAGAAATAGTCTAAGAAAGACAGGAATCGTTAGAACAAAATTTGATGGAGATTTAAAAATTAATTTTAAAACAAATGATTGTCTGAACATTTGAGTGATGTAAAAATGACGTCGAATGTCATGTACCCTAAACCTCTTAATTTTGCACTTCTATTCGAGTTCTCTAAATGACAAGAACAAATAACGTATCACCTTCAACCTAAAACTTTCTTCACTATACCCCGTATTATATATTCAACTGGTATTGTTGAGATGTGGGTTATACACCTTTAGAACCCGAATAAATCAAGGAAACCAGAAACTGAAATTTTAACAAAATTTAATAAACAAAACAAAAATAACTTTTTACAACAAAATAATTAAAAATAATAGAAATGAAATGTCTTTCTGCAGACCGTCCTAGGAAGTGTCCTGGAAAGTAGGGTTAACTAATCACAGCACCTCTGCTTAACATTTTCAGAATTTGGGTGTTGAATTTCCTCACACGTAATTTTCACAAATGAAACATTGAATATAAATTCACAAATAACACATAAATCACTGTTTCCTAAACTTTCATAATGCTGTGTGGATTTTCTTTTGGTTTAATCAATATAATTTTCAAAGAGTGGAATTCTTTTGAACACATAACTTTATAAATGCTGGTCCCGAGTTGTCCGTCAGGGCTGCCGTATCTGACTCTCTCTCACATGTGCTGTTGTAAATGCATAACCAAGACTCTCCCTCTCGCCCTGGACTGGCTATTGTATCAATGGAATTTAAGTACCCCGCCCAAGACCTGTATCATTTTAGAAACGGGACGAAAGCCCGAGGAAATAGGACCCTGGGGAAAAATAGTAAAAAAAAACAACCATACTAAATATGTAGATTCTAACTATATAAACATATTTTACAAATTACATTTTCAATCCCGTAAATACCTGATGTACTTTTGAGCACCCGCCCCGGCTACTTCAGAACAAGCCAAACAGGTCTAATCGTGGCTGTAACTTCCCGGGTACTACCCGAACACGAGCTCTCAGGTAGATAAAATTGCTAACCGAGGGGCTCCCCACAGGATAAAGACCAATATCTATTATCACACGATAGGGGTATCTTAAGGGCAAAATTTAGTTTGTTACAGGTATCAATAATGAATTATGTAGGAAAGGACTGGTTACTAAATCGTTAAGAACGAAAAATACAAAACACTAGTCCTTGCAATAAGCAGAAACATAGGTAAAATCGTGGATGAAAGAGAAATACATTTTATGAGTGGACAGAAAACATTAAAAAGGAGCTTTCAGGAATTTACAAACAAATATTAATCCTCAGAATATTTGTGTAATAAACTATTGAAAATGTCGTTTTCAAATGTAAACTTGATTGAGGAAAAAACGTTTAATTTAATCCATACTTCTACTAGATACGTAACAATCTGATAAATGTAACAAAAGATTGTGCCGTTTCTTCATGTGCGTTGCTGTAAAGAAGGAAAACTGAAAGGTTGACATGTGTTAAAGAAGACTGCAAAACATCTAGACTGTTCTTCCTACTCGTAAGAGATTGATTGATTGAATGTTGTTTTACGTCCCGTTCGAGAAGTTTTCACTCATATAGAGACGTCACCATATACCAGTGACAGGCTTTAAATTTAGTCCTTCACTCGGCACTCGGGGCCATCTCGATTTTTAAGGTCTCATCCGAAAGACCAGCAACTTTCACTTCAAAGTTCCGAGCGCTTGGCGAAGGAAAAGTTGCTACCTATTTTTATCGACTTAGGTCAGTCCCGGCCGTGATTCGAACACACAATCTTCCGATCACGAAGCGAGTGCTCTACCGACTGAGCTGCCGTGACGGTTTACTCGTAAGAAAATAGATAGAGAAGATAACGCACAATGATCGATCTCAAAAAATCTATAAACAATACAAATATGGGAACAGGGCATAAAACAGGGACCCCAGGAAATTCCAGAGGTGGGATCAGGTGCCTCGGAATAGTAAGCATCCCTTGTTTACCGTTTACACCGTGAGTCCTATGTATTGATTAGGTAGACGGAACATTCATTAGTCAAATTTAGTATAATTATGAACAAAGGCCTAATCAATTGTTAGGAATTGTATGTATACATTTTATGAAACACAAGCAAAAATACAACCCAATGATAAGTTATATTTGTTGACAAGGTCATTATAATGACCATAGAATTTACTGAATGCTGACTTTTAACGAGGTTTTTGAATTCCTGTAACATCAACTTATCTGTCAGAAGCCTGCGTCTGATTTAAAAATTGATCGCACTCGGGGCATGCTCTTGGGTATCGAATAAGTTGGGAGACGTAAACACAATATGCAAGTGATAGCGGAATGTTACTACATAAATATGGAAAGTTGATGATGGATAAGCTGAAGTCATCTTATTTGTCATACGATTTTGTTGTTAGTTGCCGCTTATCGTCCATAGTCAGTAAAAATATGAAACAGATGTGTCGGACTCAGTGGTGTCTTTAATTTCAAGTTCACTGGAATATATAACGAACTTTTATAGTGATAGAGAGTTAATAAAATGTTCAAAGCGTAAAGTTGAACCGAGCAGGAATTCAGTTCAACCCATTTCATACTGTAACAAGCTAGGGCAATATCTATTTGTCGTATGAATTGGGCTAGATGTAACACGTTTTAAGTTTAAATGAGAAATTCCTTCGTGAGCCTCTAATATCATAGGTAAGCTGCTTGATAGAATAGCATGGTCATCAGATTCGTCTATGGGTTCATTTAGGTACATTTCTGCTTCAACATTTTGTTTTGCAAAAACACTCTTTTGGAAGTATATACTTGTTCGCTGGTTGTCATTTCATTATCAAGAGGCATATGTTTTCTTTGATGAATAAGTGCTTTTCAGAACTGACTTCTTTGTTAATTCTCCGCAACTGTTCCATATCTTCCTCTGTGTTTTGACGAAGAAAGATTGACTACTCTTTTTCACTTTCCTTGATCCTTACAGCAGAGTCATCTTCTATTTCACTCAAAAAATTATGGTCAACAACCATACCCGATTGCGTCAACTGGCGCTTTTCCTACTTCAACGTCTTTAACTGTGTTGTCAAGAAGTTCAACTGGAGTCATAATGGGATCTCTGCTGTTTTCATGAGAAGCACCTTCACCTTCTGCAGAAGTCAGATCTTCTCTGCTTACTTCTTGTGTGCTCTTTTTTAAATCATCACACAATATTGATATGTTTGGAATGTTATTATTGTTGGTTTCAGTGTCATCATCTTTTCCATTTGACTGTGTTAT